TCCCCTAAATGCTATGTTATTGTGCTGAGGCCAGACTTGAACAAAAAGGAACAACTAATAAAGAGAGAAAAATGAATTATAGCTCTGTAAATGATACATTCTTGTAGTGCTAGCTTTAGTCTGCTGGAGGAACAGCTGCTGCCATATTTTCCTGAAAAACTGAATGAGAAACATAGTATAAGAAATGTGTCTCAATAATAATGATATTTTACGGGTGAAACAGCTGGGCAATTGATTTCCTAGAAAAAGAAATTTCTCCTTAAAGGATAGAAGGAATGGGTAATTTCAATATGTGGAGATATTTATTTACTTTTATTTGTTTGATTTCTTTATTCTATTGATTTATATATTTCTCAACAAGTGACTCTGGGTACCTGGAGATATGAGGCTTTGAGGAAAAATTAGAAACATCAAGATTGTGAATGAAAATATCACCACCATCATCATCATTTTGTCATTATAAATAAAGATAATACAACAGGAAAAATAATAAACAACTTATTTTTAAAAAAGGAATAAGAAAACTATATGAACCAAAAATTCTAGGCATATATTCATAGATGTGTGTGTATTTCTACATAAATATTGCAATAATGGTAACCATATTTTATTATAATCATACTTAATTAATTACATCAATATGTTTATCCTTCCAATGTTGAAGAATAAGTCTCTTGTCCAGGTGTCTAGTTTAGTGCAATGCATATTATTCAAAAATAATATGATCATCTGAGAATGCTAAATCTTGTCTCACAGTTGAGTTAATAGATGTAAGGAACCTTTATAGGACACTATAAAACACATGTTCAGATGAAGCATTAATCTCAATATGTGTTGTTGATCTTGAAAGAATTTGGAGTTCCTTTGCATTATCATCTTCTCAGTAAATATACATTTCAGGTTTATGAAATTTGGGAAACTTGCTACATTGGGTGAGTTAGAGAAGATAGGATCAGATCTGGCCAAAATTGAAGAGTCTGACATCCACACAACCTATTTTAGTAGCTAACTAAAAAAGAAGATAGAGGAGGAAGAAGAGGAGGAATTAATGACAGAGGAAGAGGAAAAAGTAATGACAGAGCACTTTTACAACATTGCCAGAATCTCCCATCTAGGAACTGGAGGAAAAAGTGAGAAAGAGGAAGCTGTCTTCTTAGGAGATTATCTTCTATTATTGCTGATTAAGAGGTTTCTACTTCACCCACCTAAGGAACAGTACAGGGCATGCAACACATGTGCAGTTGTCTAGACAGCATTGTGGACATGGTAACCTTGATCTGTCATGTGCATTTCAAAAACAGTCATGGAGAAGGTCTCTGGTTTTTCCACTCAAGTGCAGATATTCTCTTCCACTCTGTTTATGGTAGACATAGACAGCAAACAATTAAATATCTGCCATATTTCTCTCAGGAAAGTATTGCCTGTATTTCAAATAGGTTTCCTCATCTGCATAGAAGTCTGGAATCCTAACAGAATGAATTGCCAAGGATATAGTATCATGGAGGAAATGTCTGGCCCAGGACCAATTAAATTCCACATTTAATAGGAAGGAGTAGTCTGGACGATAAGTCAACCCTTTCCATTTCCCACATCATTGATCAAGACGCCTTGTTGCAGAGCTATAAAATATCAATTGTGAATACATTGATTGGTTTGATAAGGTGGAGGCTCATGTCAGTCACCAACCTGGAAACAAATTTGTGGGCCAGATCATGTGACTATGAGGATATGGATTGAAAATCGTTTCAGATGAGTGAAAAGAGCTAAGCAGCTTTTTTACTATGCAGTAAAAACAGTGTTGAAAAATATACAGTTGTGTGAAAAAGAAAGTACACTCTCTTTGAGTTCTATGGTTTTACGTATGAGGACTTAATAAAAATCATCTGGTCCTTAGCAGTTCTCAAAAGTAGGTAAATACAACCTCAGATGAACAACAACACATGACATATTACACCATGGTCCATTTATTTTACAAAAAGAAGTGGCTTGCCACTGTCTGCTTCCTAGGGCTGAGAGAGAGGGACTGCCCCAAGGTCACCCAGCTGGCTTCGTGTCCAAGGCAGGACTAGAACTCAGGGTCTCCACCTTTCTAACCTTGTGCTTTAACCATACCACCAAACTGGCTCTTTCCTATCCTTAATGACTCCCAAGCAAGGATGAAACTGGACGTACAGTGCCTTGCAGTGGTCAGTAGCAAACATAACTCCTTTCAGGATATTGCTCCCTGCCACTGAGTTAGATCCATGGGCAATCACCAGTGCACGTTTGCTGGCTATACCATCCTTAACATATTAAGGAAATAATTTAGGTTGGAATAGCCAGAAGAAAAAGAAAAAGAACAAAAAGAAGGAAAGGAAAGAAGGAAGGAAGAGGAAGAGGAAGAGGAAGAGGAAGAGGAAGAGGAAGAGGAAGAGGAAGAGGAAGAGGAAGAGGAAGGAGTGTGTGATTCATATTTCATGGTAGACTTTTCCATTTGTAATTAGACATTTTCTCAATTGGGCAATTTGAACCATTCTAGAATTTCTTCAGTCTTCTTTTTGAGATGTCACCTTTGCATGCACCTTAGAGAAGAAGCCGACCTTTTTACTTTTCTGAAATATTTCTTCTCAGGTTCAAATATTTTGCCCTTAATTACAGGCTTCAAGTGTCATGGCACTGCAAAATTGGACACAGCTGATTTTAAAAACAAAACATGACATGACATATTCTTCAGCCACATCACACCGAAAAGTTCCCCAAGTATGGGGTGATTTGCCCTGTTATTATCAAATTATCCATGATTATCTCCAAGTCCCTAAGGGGATTCAAGAAAGAGAACATAACAATGAATGAAAACAATAGAATATATTATCTCTTCTCTGTGCAGGATGAGACTGGAGTGATAAAACTCTTTCAGTCTTTTTCTTCACAGAGTATGTTTCAGCCAAAGGAAGGATTGTTCTGCACAATGATTTCATTCCTTGCAAACATATTAATGATACTGCCTCATATCAAATGCTATATTCCTCTTGGTAAATGTACTGTGGGGGACCCCCTCTTTATTACGCACAAGAAATATCACTCAGAAGATCTGGTTATTGGTGGAATTACTTCTCAGATTTACGCATTTTCCAACACAGTAACATTCATAAAGAATCCATCTAAAGAAATAGTTGATGATTTCCTGTAATTATTTTTATTCTGCAGATAAGTGATAACTGGATCTTCCTTCACAGTTATTTGCTACGTAAAAGTAAAGAGCAGAACTGGTTTTAGTGGGTGGTAGAAACCATTGCACTAGGAGGCGATAGCTTTTATAGTGCCGGAGGAAAAGTATTGCATGGAGGAATTCTGAATTTCCATGTCACTTTTTTTCCGTGAATTGGAATTAATTAATTATTGAATTAGTAGTATCGATAGAATACGAAAAAATAGACGGAAATGGTGTGGGGATAGTGGAAAAGACAAGGGTAGATCATAAAAGTATAACAAATTCTACTAAATTCAGTTCACATTTTGCATTTCACCACATCCCAGCACAAGTACTGACAGATTATGACATGTGAAAGGAATGGATTCTTGTTAAAAATGTGAACAAGGATAGGAAGCTCTATTGGAGCATGGTGAATCTGAAACTAGGAGCATTTCAATTACTGAGTTCTTAGACTGAAATTCAGAGAAACCTTTCCCTCATCAAAACTGTGTGCAGATTTTTCTCCACTTTAGAGCAACAGAATCATACCTTCTGGATATGATTAGAAAATAGAAATCAGAACATAGCAAAGTTCCTATTCTGAAACAGAAGTATTGTAATAAAAGTTACATCTGTTAACAGCTCTCATTTCAGAATTCATCTTCAGAATTTTCAGCATATCCTGGCCTTGGAATTTGCTATCAAAGAAATCAATGAAAATCTCCGGATCTTACCCAATATCACACTGGGCATCCATGACTCTAATAGCTATTTCTTGGCACGATGGATCTATCTCGCTTCCATGGAACTTCTCTCTTCCAAGGGAAGATTCATCCAAAACTACAAGTGTGATCTCAAGGACAATGTGGTAGCTGTTCTTGCAGGACCTAATGCTTTCATTGGCCAGTTCATGTCGAATATTCTGAGCGTTTACAAGATTCCACAGGTAAGATATTCTCCTAAAACAAAAATGCACAGAAAAAGGTCTGTGATATCTATAGAGACACTGTTTAACAGATAACAATGCAAAATGCCCTGGGAAGTGTTCATATTTGAATAAACAAACCCTGGCAATCAATTATCAAAGCAATAATAAGGATTAGGACATATATTGAGATGGAATTATTTTTTAAAAAAATCTCGCCAGTACTGATATTGACAATGACTGATAGCAGTTAATTCACAGCTTGTGAACTAACTTATATACTACAAACTCCTAGTGAATAAAAAACCCCTACCTTTTTATTACAAACTCCTAGTAAATTAATTCAGTCTTTCATTTTAGACTTAAAAATTTTCCTCTTAGCAAGATATCTCCTATTTATTGAAACTTATCACACCTTTATGTTACTTATGTTTTGAATAACTTCTGATCTTCGTCATACATATTTGATTTGATGTGTAATTTTCTCAGCTCACATATGGCTCTGCTCCAGTGATAGATGACAGCACACAGGCTGTTTTCTTGCACCGGGCATTTCCAAATGAAGATCTTCAAATCAAGGGGATCATCCAATTGTTGCTATATTTCCAGTGGATATGGATTGGGCTTATTGTCCAAAGTACTGAGAAACGAGACAGGTTTCTACAGAATAGACTTGCCATATTTTCTCAGAAAGGTATTTGCTTTGACTTTGTGGAAGAGTTACCAAAAGCGTCTGTTTCTGATGAACTAGATAATCTGCTTACACATTATGCAAAAGTTTACAATGTTATCACGAGGAGCAATGCGAATGTTGTGATTATCTACTGTGAAAATGATGACATGGTCGTTCTGAGAATGTTGTCAAAGACATCTAATGAAGTTGCAGGTATGCTTATCCACTATATAAAAGTTTACAACGTTATTCTGACAAGTAGTGCCAATGCTGTGATTATCTATTGCAAAAACCAGGACATGGTCATTTTGAGAATGTTGCCCTATATTTCAGAATTTGAGAACACAACAGTGAAGAGTAAAGACAAAATTTGGATAATTCCAGCCCAGATGGAGTTCTCATCACTCCCTTTTCAAAGACAGCAAAGTATGGATTTCATCCATGGTTCTCTGTCTTTTCAAGTCTCCTCAGAGGACTTCTTGGAATTCAAGGGATTTCTTCAGAGGAGAAAAGTTACTTCTGCAGAGGAAGACAGCTTGATCAGAGTGTTTTGGGAAAGTGCATTTCAATGTTCTTTCTCCAATGCCATGTTAGAGGAAGACGCGGAGAATGAATGCACCGGTGAGGAGCCACTGGAGACCCTTCCTAAGTGTGTTTTTGACACCAGGATGACTGGTCAGAGTTACAGTGTCTACAATGCAGTCCATGCTGTGGCACATGCTTTGCAGGCCATGCTTTCAACGCAGGACAAACTGACGGCAACCAGAAAAGGTTCCAAAGAGAGTACTCTGAAGGAGAACCTGTGGCAGGTAAGAGTAGAATTAATATCCTGTCCTTATTAAGCAAGAACCATCAGTGCCACCAGATAGAACATTTTGACACAGTCTTATTATTTCTTCTCAATAGAACCCTGCTGTTATGGGAGGCCCACAAAGGAGGGGAAGAGGAAAGCAAAGAGGTGGTCAGTGGGAAGGAAGAGAAAGGTGGCACTGAACAGCAATTGCAGCTAGACAACAGTAAGAGTGAGGAATGCCTTGCTCCTGTTTGGAAACTGAAAAGGAAAAATGATGCAACTTGCTATTGTGCTTTCAAACCCAATAAATATATTTGTTTCATCTGTCTTAGTCCTTGAATACATAGCCTGATTTAAAACACTCTGGGAGGGTTCCCTTTTCCCCAAAGGTATTGTCCCTTTGCCCACATTGTCCTGGTTTTAAGTTGAGGAAATTATATGTAATCTTGCTGTAGAAGAAAAAAAAGCTATTCTTGGTATAATAGATGATGGTCTAACCTATAAAGGTCTGACCTAAACCTATTATCAACTAAATGTATTTCTTTTCCTTCCTTCCTTCCCTCCGTCTATCACATTTTATGGAAGTGACAACAAAAGTCTCCTTCCTTCCTTCCTTCCTTCCTTCCTTCCTTCCTTCCTTCCTTCCTTCCTTCC